ATTTACCGCGAGCGCCGAGCCGCGGCGGTAAAACACGCGACGAAAAGCCCAGAACCCCGGCGCGCGAGCGGGCGGGAACCCCATGCCCGTCCTCTGGAGTCTGGACCAACGAGATCAACCCGTCCCATAGACCATGTCCACGAGCCGCAGTCTCACTGACACCCCGGCCCACGGCGCGCGCGCGCGAGCGTGGCTCACCTGGACCCGCCCCCGCCGCGCGACTCAAATTTTCACCGCACGCGATTCACCCCCCACGCCCGGGATACCCCCTGCCCCGAATCCGGACTGGCCTCCACCCTCGCGCCGAACCAGGCCACGCTACTGACGCGCGGGCCCAGAAGAGCCCAAGCCCCACATGCAGCGGCACGTGTGTCGGTTCGTGGCGTGCGTCCGGCGGCGAGCGTCGCGGCGCTGGTTCGGCTTCAAATACCCAAACCTCTCCTCCTTCTCCGGTTCCTTCCCTGGTACTCACAACGCCACTCCCGAAATCCTCAAAACTCCTTCCACCGCCGCTGCCTCCCTCCGCTCTCGTATTTGGATATTCCCCTCTCGGTTCGAAGCACCAGGGTAGGGTAGGGTTCCTCCGGAGGGGTTAGGTATTTTCCGACCGCGGTGATGGCGGAGGGGGTCGCGGAGGAGGGCCGCCGGGGCGAGGAGCCGGAGCCGGTGACCCCGGCGGCGGCGGCGGCGGCGGCGGCGGCGGCGGAGGGGTCGCAGGGGCTCGAGGACAGGCGTCTGCTGCGGTCGCGGTACCTCGCCGTCAAGAGCCAGATCAACGGTACGGGGGGGCACCCGCGCGCCCGCGACGGCGGTGTTTCTGGGAGTTTCTGGGTGCCGTTTTGGAGTTCGGTTTGGCGTCTAACAATGTGCTGTGTTCCGTGCAGACGAGAAGGACCAAATGGCGAGCGCGGACTCATTCAAGTTCCAGTCCGTCATCTCGCAGGTGGAGAGCCTGCACCAGCACGGTGAGCCCGGCTCACTCGCCATTTTTTTGAATTTCGCTTCGGTAGTTTGGACGAGGCGTAATGTGTGGTTAGGCCAAGTTTCATGCCCTTTTTTATTTTATTTTTAGCCATGTGTGGGGTCTCCTAATAACAAAACCGTGCTGCATATGTGCTGCTCTACTACTCTGTGTTTTGCCACAGTGATAAACATGTTCTTGCCTTAGGAAACACACATTTGACATTTACATTCAGTAAATCGACAACGCAGAAGAAAATAATACTAGTACATAATATTTTCTTGTTTGCCATATGCTCTGTTACTACTTTGGTGCACTTTTGCTGTCGGCCAATGCTATTTACTAAAATGTAAAAACTGATCAATTGTGCCTTCATGCTGCAGTTCACAATCCCAGGGAGCAGGTAGCTGATGCAGAGGCATTGCTGGACATTGCCAGCAGTTTGGCAGCATCTGTAAGGTCCCAGTCAGCACTAGGAATCACTCCTTCCCATTTAGTTGCTGCACTCCTCAACAAGTTTGGGACGCAAGGGGATGCCGATGGTGAGGGCGCCTCGTTGAGATGGTCTGCTGTTGGGCTTGCTGCGTCTCATGTCTTCATGGCTGTGCCTGGATGCTGCGCCATGTAAGGCATCTGATCATTTATCTCACATTTTTTCCATTGATGTCTGCCTTACAAATTTCAACTGACTAACTATGTATGGCTACTATTCTGACAGGTTTGGTCCCATGACGACAGAAGTGAAGCCACGGAGAACACATACCATTAGAAAGAGGACTGCAAGGCCGAGTAGAAATGATCGCCCTGAACAGGTGTGTGTATCATCTAGATGCTTTAATAATAAACAGAGTCGTATATGTTTTCTTTTTTGTGCTTGAAACATGAAGATACACTCTATAGCAGTTGATATTGACTAAATTGCTACACTTAGTCATATTTATTTGGTGATTGCTGCCAATTTACTGCAGAAGCATACTCTTTGATTATGTAAGGTGGGGTTTACTATTGTAAACTCCAATATATCCACATTGATGTATAAGTGAATTGCATAATTGAGCGTTATTTGTGCATGTTTCCTTAAACTAATTTGTTTTGATCTCCTTTCCATTGCCATATGCAATTTTAGTGTAATTGCTACTGTTTTCCATTTTGTGAAGCAAGTGGCAGGTTCATATTTCATTGACTAATCATTCCCTAGTTAATCTTACTGTAAATATATAAATGTTACATAGCCTAGCAGTCAGTGTGGTTACTGAACTACTACAAACCTTTTACATTGCACTCGTTGATCTTTTGTGATAGAGGTGGTGGTTGCATCTTAATGTCACAGAAGCATTCTGCTATATTTCATCACACAATGAGCCTTTTTTTAGCATGTTACCATCAGTAGTAATTGCCTTCAAGTATCAAAATCGTTTAGCTCATTTATTTTGTAAAATCTATGTTTGGCCATCTTCATTTTGTATTCTGTTATACCAAGACTAGTTGTCACAAGCAGTTTGCCTCTGGTCACATGAATAGTTTCTTTGTTCTGCTATAGCTGTATCACTATGTAAATGCAAGTAGTCTATATTTAGATCATCTAATTGAATCCGCTTGCTGGTCTAATTATCAAATTCATTTAGCTCATAATTCATAAATGGATGTTTGGCAATATCAGTTTGTATTTAATTTTGTATTCTGTTATCCCAAGATCAGTTTGTGACTGTCATTTTGTATTTTGTTATCCCATGATCAGTTTTGGCAAGATCAACTTCTAATAACATGTTGATCTAATCTGCCGTATTACGCAGCTTGCTGATCCAGAGACAACAACGACTGATACAGACAGGAACATGGCTGCTCTGTTTAATGTTCTGAGGAAGAAGAAAAAAACAAGACTTGAAAACCTTGTTTTGAACAGAATGTCAAACGGTGGAGAACATATTTGCCTTGTCATTCCTAGTTAAAGACGGCAGAGTGGAAATGAATGTGAATGACGACGGCCATCATATCCTCTGTAAGGGCTTTGTTGCTTTATTGCTCTTTTTGTTGGTGTGGCATCATGTATATCCTGTTGTGTATCTGATATTATCTTATCAACTGGAACAGCTCCAAGAAATGCACCTGCTGCTGGTGCAATTGCCTCAGGAGAAGTGAAATACAACCATTTTGTCTTCAGATACGATTTTAAAGACTGGCAGGTACTATCCACATCATTGATTGCCATTTTCACAATCAAGTGTTGAGCATGTACCGTTCATAGTCTTTTTGGGAGGTTGTGCAAGATAATGCAGTTTTCACCATTATCACAAGTTATAAATTCATTATTACAAGTCTTACCTACAGTTTATCAAACACACAAGACAAGTACTGTAAACCAAACGTATGACAACATGTTGTCAATTAAATGCTAATCATTTTTCATGGATTATCACACAAACCAAACGTATTCTTCTGTACTTGGGTGAATGCTGGGAAGATCAATTTACATGGCTAATCCATGTACTTGCCACTCACTCCAATCTAATTAATCTGTTTTACATTTGCTCCTAGCTCATGAAAGGGATAGTCGCGGAGGGGGAAGAACTGATGGTGCACAGTCCGGCTTCTCTCAGCACGTCTGGAGGAAATACCCAGGCGGAGATGCCTACTCGCAGCATGCCTGGAGGAAATAACCAGGGGGAGGTGCCGGCACACGGCACGCCTGGAGGCAACGAGGATCCCGCGACGCCTGTGCATGGCACATCCGGAGGAAACAGCGAGCCTGAGATGCCTGCGCACACAACTTCAATCAGGAAGCACTGCAGGAACCGGGGCCTGGTCACACAAGCGCGGCAAGACGAGACGACAGCCATGGAGGATAAGCGGCAGACGGATGCGCAAGATGAGGTGATGCGCACGGTGGTCAAGCGGGAGGACATGGAGATGGCCAAGGACAGGCAGGAGGTGGTCCAGACGTACAAGCGCAAGCGGTCTGATCGCCATCCACCCGCCGGCGGCCACCGCGCGCATGCGTCTTGGGGTTCCTTTGGTGTCGGTAAAGAGTTTACCCGGCTGACCTAGCTCTAGCTCTAGCTTTATCCGACTGACCTAGCTTTAGCTTTTGAGAGGACTTTTGTAGGGGTGGGCAAGTCCAGATCTATGATTTGGATGCTGTGTAAGTGTAAAGTAGTCCGAGTTAGAGAAATGTTGATCAGTGTTATGAGTTTGCAATGTTGGTTTACTGCTGGATTTTTTTAAGCAGTGATCTTGAGCTACCTGGCTCGTTATTATACAGCTGTTATGCTTTCAGCTGCTTGATTAGATACCCTGAACATACCAAGGGTGTTCCATCTCAAACTGACCAAGAACATCCAGCGAAAAATATACTTCTACTAAGAGCAAGCGGCAATTATCACTCGTCTGGACAAAGGGAAACAATTTACGCCATTCAGCAACTTACTCTCTGGCGGCACCACCACGTTTGGGTGAGGCAAACCGTTAGGGTTATCGATTCTTTTGATTCATCATTAAGTCTTCTTAACGAGATTGGATGGTGACTGGACGCTGTGGCTAGATGATGCTCCGGATCAACAATCTTATTGTATCCAAACCGAATGCAATAGTAGTTCATTGTCAAAAATTAAAGGGAAAAAAGGAGGTGAAAGATAATAAAATTTTGGCTTATAATCTAAATACCAAGGATGTTCGATCCCAGACTGACCAAGAACATCACACGAAAGATACTGGCTTGATTCTATAACTCTCCAGAAATAGAATCGCTAAATTTGCCATATTAAAATGCCTTAGAAACAGTACAAAAATTGGATGCAGAGCAGAGAGAAAAAAAAGACGGCAATACACTAAGCCTATAATAAACCTCAAAAGCAAATCCATTCTCGGATATCTATCAGTTACAGCGAGCTGATCAAAACCAAGCCATGACAGTATCTCCCAATCAATCAACAACAGGCTTATGCAACTCAACATGACCATGGGTGAGTGGCCTCAGATTTGGAGCTCAGGCTTTGCTAGTCACTATTAATCATGAAAAGCCATGAAAAAAGAAAAGCATCCCTCAAGCCGCAGCCGACTTGCGCAGTTCACTCTCACCATGAGCGAAGTGGCATCTGTCTCCAAATGTGCAAGAGCCTTTGTTGAAGTTGTCACACAGCTTGGTCTTGAAGTTGCTTCCCCCACCACCACCTGCAGGCCCCTTCCCCGGGTTCTTTGCTTGAGGAGGGGCGTTGCCGCCAATGCGGAGAATCAGCTCTTTCACCATTGCACTCGCATGGTTGACCTGATCGAACGATCCCTCGAGCTCAATGTTTTTATGGTTGGGGTCTGCCTCATTATCCCGGATGGCTAGCTTGGCCCCAGTCATTCGGGATATGTGCTTCGTGTTGACTCCACCTTTCCCAATAATGGCGCCAGCAAGGGATGCATCAACACTGATCTTGGCTGTGGCCGATGCGCCAAAGGTTGAGGGAGGAACCATGTCTGGGCCAGGCATCGGTGAGGGCTGGAAGTGACCGTTGGGTCTTGGTCCCATTGGAGGTGCCATCGAGTTGTTCAACAGCATGGGCTTTCCGAGCTCCCTCTCTCCATGAGCAAAATGACACTTGTTCCCCCATTTACAGCCTTCTGCTGTGTTGAACTTGTTACACAAGCGAGTCTTCAAGCTGGGTGTAGGTGGCCCATCAGGAACACCAGGTCCCATGGGCATTCTTCCTTGAGGAGCTGAAACAGCTGGACCACCCAAGTTGGTCATCTTTGAAACAGCCTGGTGACCTCCAGGGAAGTTATGGAGAAAATGGCAACTTGAACCAAAGGGACAACCAGCAGTGCTGCACACAGAGAGTATCACATAAGCAAGCGAACTTACACAACAATCTAAACTGTAACACGACTGATGATTTATAATGCAGCCAATACTGATGAAAAAAGATCATGATCTATTTACTTGAACAAGATGACAGTATTATTATATTAACTAATGAGAGGCATCTGGTGAATGAAAAGAACCAAACATTATCAGTACTATGGGGACACTTAGATTCTACTTTTGATGTGTAGTGTACAGACGACACTTAGATTCTACTTCTGATGTGTAGTGTACAGACGACACTTAGATCCTATGTTTGATGTGTACACACAGTATCACTACTATGTGGACAACCACAGATGCTTCACCATATATCTACTACAGTCAATTTTTATGTCATAAATATATAGAATATCAAAATAGCAGAGTACATTTTAGAGTAATGTTGTAGTTTCTCAATAAGAAGTGTTTTCAATTTTATCTTCCAATATTGTTGTGAGCTATTCTACTTCCATGATACCTGATTACCTCTACATAATGAAGACACTTTGTAACTTATAACAAAACCAAAGATAGCTTAACATCATAAACTGGAAATTATAAATATATAAAATAAAAATATCTTTGCAAGTAGGTATGGCATTGGTACTAGATAGTCAAAACATCCATGAGTGATACTGGATTATCAACGATCTAGATGAACACTCAATTGCTCCCCATTAACATGTTCAATCTTCTTATCTTGGTTTCTGCAGGTGAATCTGTGCCATTGTGTTACTGACTGATTTTCCATCTGAAAGCAAGTTACATATCCTTATAATTCTTGTTGCATTCTTCCAATTTTCACAACGATATACACACCGGCTGTACTAATTTTTACTCCACTGGATATTCATTCTTAAGCTTGAGTTAGATGAGGAACCTGTAGTAGAACCTTGCTTGACCCATTCGTTAGCATCAATAACAATTTTTAGCAAGATAGCAGAATTTTAATGAAAAATAACAGCAAATTGCATAATAATAATAATAGATGTTACCAGGTGGGAGTGGATTTTAGGTTGGATTATAACCTGAAAAATTTGGTGCATGGCTTCGATTTGCTTCCTACACCCGTTTGAACCGACTCCGATTCTGCTACACCAAATTTATTACTTCCACCAGTTAATACCGTGTTGATTTTACTAAAATCTTGGCACTTGTAAGAAAACATATACTAATAATTTAATAATTTAATACTAGCACAGAGATATTGTAATAAAAACTAAATGCTGGAATTAACTCCAGTACCCCAAGCAGAGCTATGCCAACGATTTAAATTAGGACTATCCGTATATTTCTGCTTTGGGCACCGGATGCCAACGTCAGCGTGGCTTGTAATTAACACAACAGAACATTTAAGAAAGGATCCTCTCTACCAGAATAGTACTAGCCTAGATCCTGCTAATAATTTGCCCCAACCCCCTCCCCCGGGAAAAAAGCAAGCGAATCACATCTTCAGATCTTTGGAAGAAAAAAAAACAAAACAAATCCCCGCAAGAACCTACACGGCAGCAAGCCATGAAACCCGTTCAATACAGACCGCAGAAAATTTCAGGCTCGCTACAAGCTCCTAGCAGCCCCCGATATCCCCGTCCCATC